CGTAAAATCATCAGTTTTGTATATTTTTGTAAAATGTGTCCGTATATTGAGGGATCAGGTGACACATTTTAAGTGGCCACTATCTCTATCAAAAAGACAGCTATCAAAAAGATCCGGATGGTGATAGTTAGTTTAAAGACAGGCCTACAAAGTTATCATAGTGACCTTCTAAAACTATCCTTTGCTGCCGTTCAGAAATGACAGTCCGAAGATTGAGAATTTTGGCCGATCATTGGTATTGTCGGACACCACGCTTTGAGAGCTTATAACTTTCTATGCACTCTTGCTAGAGCTACAAGTTTTGTCACGCAAATAAAGGATAACTATTGCTATAATACTTTGCAGTTTCATGAGATGGCAATGTATAGTTTTCCTAAAACAAGTGTCCGAAAATTGATGGTGTACGATCATTGATAATGTACTCTAGTACAGTCTAGATCTATCCCCTGGTTTTTGTTTCTTTTGTAAAATAAAAAAAATTAATTCCATTTTGATTGGAAATTTTTATACACATTATATTGCATGTATTTAATGAATGTATAGCTAAGCATTTTATAAAACATGTTTAGAAGGAAGTTGTGTATGTCATTTGTGTTGCATCAGCATTTGCTGCATGACAGCTGCACTGCATTTTAAAATTACTATTATAAATTTGATCAAATTGATTTGAGAATGAGCAAAATAAATGTCTGATGAGTAGAGCAAGAGAGAGGGAGGAAGTTTCAGTACCTTTTGCTTTGTATCGCTTCATATTTTATCTCTATTTCAGACTAAAACCTAGTCAATTATAATATTAAATTCCTTAGGCCAAGCCACCCCATTAGTTACTCTTGCTTAGACATTGGTATAATACAGGTAGTATAATTGTTGTAGCCCTCTTGTAGTGTAAGAAGTATTATATTAGCACTTATCAATCTGATATTACATGTAAATATGTTATGTTACCTACTGTAAATGTATTTTTAGTTTTGTGGTTATTATTACTGTGTATGAATATTGTTATCCATGATATAAGTTCTGATGCATGCACATTTCTGTGGTTATCTTCTTGTTCTTGTTATAGTCTTATTCCTGAATGGTTCTATTTTGTTCTCTCTCTCTCTCTTCATCTCTCTTGTATTTATATACTCTTTGTTATTTATCAACTTGTTGAGTTAACTAGAACTGCCTTGCTGAATTCCACCCGCAAACTCTAACATGTAGTGCTCTTAGTATTACTAAGCAGTACATACTTTGAATGTATGTCACCTTCAACAGGGACACTAAAGCCTTAATAACAAAGAAAGGTTATACTGTAAGATCTTTAGTCTTTAAATATAGATTTGGCTGAGCAAAAAAAGGTTAATAGGATACTGTATTGTAAGATTTTAAAGTTTATGTAATTAATTATACATTGGTATAGTCACATGAGAATGAGATACAATCACTTTTTTCGAAAATTTAAATGCTCGTAATTCAGAACTGAGGAAGAGAGAACACTCTACAGTCTCAGTACATTTCACTGGTACAAGAAAGAGATGAGCTGCTAAGAGAAGAGTCCAAAAACAGCAAGACAGTATAACAATGTGAATAACTGATGTTACAATCACTATAATAACTGATTTTCATTTGATATGTCACAGTTATGAGAAAAACAGTAGTCCATTGAGTCAGCTTTTCTAGCTAGTAGCATAACTCAACTATCATAGTAATCATTCTTTTTATCATGAGCTAAATCAGTCTACTCTCAGCAAATTGCACTGACCTTGCTACTAATGTACAAGTATTTTGTGGTCTCATTAAACAAGTACAGACTGCCAATTTTATGCAAATCAATTTAAATAGTGATTAATGGTAGATGAGCAGCTAGTGCCCACAGGACATTATGCTAGTCATGCAGGCAAACTTGGCCTGACTAACAGCATGCTGCATGTATATATATTTGGTCATTTGACTATAGTAAGCCAGTCTAGCTAGACTTATGTAAGCTAACAGTTGATGCATGCACTTATCATCACAGTTTTTTGCTCTGTCAGAGTGTAATTGTCAGGGGCACAATATGGAGCTGTGTCTGTTTCTGCAGTGGTTCTTTCTTTCATCTATTGCTCTCTCTTTGGGAAATGGTTCAAAGTTTTATGTTCATCCTAATGATGATCCTTCACAGTGTCCTCCTGATACTCCTTGTTGGGACATTAACGAGTATGCTAACAATTATTTCATGAATGACAGTATCTACTATTTCCTGCCTGGAGTTCACAACTTGAGTAAAAGCATTAATATAGAATGGGGAAGCAACCTTACTTTTCAGAGAGAAGGCATGATGATGGAGGGTCCTCATACTACTGTCATGGAGTCACCAGTGGTAATACAATGTATCGGTTATGTAACTGTCACTTTTGGTAATTGCAATAATTTATCACTGTCATACCTTACCATTAAAAACTGTAGTTATTTTAATGTTATTAAAGGGTCTAATGCAACTTTGAGTTACATGACTTTCCAGGAGAGCCAGTGGATAGCATTACGGTTCATTGATGTCAGTGATACAACAGTTTATCATTCTTCTTTTTATAAAAATCGTTATTCTATTGCTATTTTCTACACTTCTGACTTGCTGTCTGAAAGTTTGCTTGAGGTAAATAAATGTAATTTTACAGAGTCATTTGTTGGGCTATTTCTAAAACTTTATCAGAATGTTCACATTGATATAAGAATAACTGATGTCCATTTGTATGACAGCATTTATGGACTTTATTTGTTCAGTACAGCTAGTCTGTATGACCTACAGATTGATAAACTAGTGAGTAGTGATTGTGGTACGGTATTTTATCTAAGACAAAATTCAACATCTGTTACGCATAGCCCGTCTATTAGTATCACAGACAGTGTGATCTCTCAAAGTTCTTCACATGCTCTTCAGTTATATTGGTATGGTTCTGCTGTTGGTGTATTTCACCTTAACTCTACTAGACTGGATAATAATCTTGGTACGATTGGTAGCGCTCTTCATATAGCCACAGATGAGTTGCTTGATACAAAACTGTACATTCTGCTCCATAACTTGACATTTGACAATAACAGTGTTTTACCTGATATTCCAATAAAACAATCACTTGCTGTTACTTTAGGGCTATTGAACAGTCAAAGTGTAAACATTAGTAACTGCACCTTTAGAAATAATGATGGCAGTGCTCTTGGTTTAGTTAATGCAATTGTTAGGTTTTTTGGTGACAATTACTTCATTAATAATACTGGTCGTAGAGGAGGAGGGATTAACGTGATCATAACATCATATATCTTTCTATCCCCTGATGCCTATTTGTCATTTATTAACAATAGTGCTGATGTCACAGGAGGGGCTATAAATATATATCAACCAGCAGTTTATTATGCTCGTGATGTTTCTGTAGCTTTATGCTTCTTTCAATTCCTGGGCAAAAAAATTCAAAATGGGACAATAACTAAATTCTTCTATTTTGATAGCAATAGAGCAAAAGTAGCAGGAGATGCAATCTATGGAGGAGCAGTAAACTCATGTCTTTTAGCTGAAGGTCTATATTTTGGACGATCTTCCTTTTTAGATGTCAGTATATTTGTCAATCAACCACCTAAATCTGTTATATCATCTGATCCACTCAATGTCTGCTTCTGTGATGATGAAAACTCTGCTAAGTGCAGTACAAGCACAAAGGAGCTTTCAGCATTTCCTGGAGAAAAAATTAATTTTACTATGGCAGTGGTTGGACAACTTAAAAATTTAACAACTGGCACTATTGATATTGCTAATGATGATTTAGTCAATTCTTATAATATATCACAAGCTAAATGTGAATCAATCAGTTACAAATTTGAGCCGCAAGATGTAACTCAGACCAGTGTCACACTGACTGTTAAAATACAAAATAGCATTAACTTCAACAAAAGTGCTCGTGACATCATAAATATTAATGTTTCCTGTTGTCCCAATGGTTTCTGCCTTTCAATAAATTCATCTATTTGTAGTTGTGAATATATCAAAGAAGTGAAAGAATCAGTCAGCAGTGATATTCTAAGTTGCAATGCCACTGATAATTCAGTGACAAAACGACCTGGGTCTAATTTATGGCTGAATGGCACTAGGGAGTGTACAATATCATATTCAAGTTGTCCTTTTGATTATTGCAATAACAGTATTAGTACATTTGATTTAAGCAGGCCTGATGAACAATGTGCCTCTAATCGAGCAGGTGACTTGTGTGGAACTTGCTCTGATAACTTCAGTCTAATGCTGGGGTCCAACAGGTGTGGGGAATGCAGCAATGCTTATCTTGCTCTTATAATCCTGTTTGTTGCTTTTGGTATTGCTCTAGTTATTATGATTGTTGCTCTTAATCTAACAGTCACTGTTGGTACTATCAATGGGCTACTCTTCTTTGCTAATATTATTAAGATTTATCAACCTCTAATCCCACATTTCAATAAATTTTATGTAACAAGTCAATTCATTTCATGGATCAACATGGACTTTGGTATTGAGACATGTTTCTATAATGGTATGGAATCATGTGGTAAAACTGGTCTACAGTTTACATTCCCATTTTATCTTTGGGCACTCATTT